CACTATCCCCATGGAATATTGATATTTTAGATTTTTTTAAAGCAACATATGTACAAAACTTACAGGTGGTAAAAATAATAATATTGCAAGCCCATTTGTTAACAAAAAGAAAATTATTCAAATCTTTGTAAAAGAGTTTACAATTTATTAGAATTATTAATATACCACCATTATTTCCGCTCAAAAATAATGTTAATTGCATACTTAATTGTTTAAATTAATAAATTATTCTAAATAAATGTGGATTTCACTCAGAAATCAATACAATAATAAGTTATGAAAATGAACGTCTCTATTGTTAGATTAGGTGGTATAAACAAGCATTTGTCAAAAAATGAAATAAAATTTATACTACTTTTACTTGCTGTTACTTTTTACCACACAATGCAAATACAAAATTCAGTTTTTTAGTATTTGGAGTAATTATTATTAATCAACGTAAACGGTCAATTAATGTAGTTTGAATACTGGGATCATATTAATTGGTCCTCTTTAACAAAAAATATTTAAACAATTTTTTATCTTTTAATGAAATAAGCGAACTATATCGACAATATTAGTATCTGTACTTTTTGAAAATTTGTTACATCTTTAATAATCTAAAATGTCGATATTCCATGGATATAGTGATAACTGGAGGTCTAAATTATAAGAAAATGCATTTTCTACGAAAACTTAAAGAGATAGGTAATAAATGGAATAATACAATTTGATAGACATTTAAATTGTGCATCTGATTCTCTTAAAATATACAGGGTGTTCCATTTAAATTAAACAACTTATTGCCGTTTAAAGCTAGTAATTATTTAATATAAATTTTTAAACTCTCTGTATAAAGTAATAGTATGGTTATTATTGCAAAACAATATCTGATCAATAAATAAACTTCAGTAAATATTTAGTATTAAAAACTTCGATACCCTTGGAGAAATGAAGCCTTAAAATTTTTACTGCAATTTTATAAAATTGAAAATATTAGTGTGATAAACAATGAAATTTACCTTTATTTCAATAGTAGAATCTAAAAATAGAATAATATACAGGATGTTCCATTTAAAAAATACAACTATAATAATTTTTACTTATTTGGGATCGAGTTTGGGATACCCTGTATCTTGTAAAAATATTTTTAAATTGAAATAGTCCCTCCACGAACCCAAAACTTACAATTTGTAAAAATCCAATCGTTTAACTACAATATTCCGTGTCGTAAGTGGTGAACAACCCTGTAGACACTTTAAAACTTTTTGGTCTTACCTCATTATTATAGCTATCCCTGATTTTCATTCACATTTTATTATTTATTTAATTGGATATACTGACTATGCACCTGAATTACAGTGAGCCTAAAATTATCACACCAACAGTAGAGAAATACATTGGAACATTGGGCCATTGGCTGCTCTAAGGGCTAGCTCTAATATTCTTTATCTCTGGTCTTTTTTATTTTTTATCGCACCGCAACAGGTTTACACATTTAATGAAGGTAGCGAACTATCAACTGCCTTTGAATGAAAGTTTATACACTTTGCTGTCTCAATAGCAAAACACAAAGATTTTGCAATTATCTCGGCAATTATTATGGATACGAATATTTTATTCCATATTTCGAAAAAGGTCGTCATTAACATATATTTGTTGTTATTGAAGAAATCCCTCGTAAAATTAGGCAAATTAGGCCTATGCCATTAATAAATTGAAATAATTTATTGATGGCAAATTAAAATATACACCGTATATGATTGAAAATATTACTTAATACTCATAGTTGTCTTTGAAATTTAATGACACGATGAGTTTAAATCTATCGTAATTTATTCATTGTGATTTATTTGACCTTCTTGTCAAATATTGAATTTAAAAATTTGATATTAAATAACCAAGCCGACAAAAATACTTGTACGTTTCCAAGTCAATAAGGAAAGAGTAAAAAAATATATTTAATCGATTATTTTAACTATAAAACTTAACTGTTTTCAATTATTAATTTAAATGAAATAATAGACAATACAAAAATAAAATAGGTTAATGTCGAAAGAAAAAGGCGAGTTCATGTCCTACTTAATTATACCCTCGTTTATTTATTCTTAATATGCAAGAATTCTACATATTAATTTATTTTAGAATCAAAAAATAGCTAGTACAATACTATAAATTCCAAGTAGCATAATTAATATCAATTAATACAGGAGTCCCTCAATACGGGAGTATACTCTTGTTTTTTTTTACGGTAAGATTTCGACAGACGATGATAGAAAAAAGGCAGATGACGTCCATACCAATCCATTTATTTTACTAAAAAATATTTCTAATAACTTTTAAATTAACTGTGGATATTCATTCTAGATTAAAATTTAAAATACGATTTTTTTTAAGCCAATATATCAAAAGTTGACATATTTATTATGATATGTCATTCTTATTCAGAGTGTCATTTTCTGTCGGATTAAGTAAAAAATACCGATGGTGCTATTCAAAAATCAAAAGTTGTAGTTATTTCGTGAAACAAAAAGTCACTGAAAAGAATTGAAAACGTCAATCAATCCTAATTAATGTCATACTATATACCGGGTGCGTCTCAAAAGTGGCTCACCCCATAACTTGTTTATTTTTTCAGATAAAACAACGAGATTTGGTACGTGAGTATATGACATAAATTGGGACTGATTGACGTATTCAATTGTTTTCGGTCACTTCCGGTTTCACCGGAAATGAGTACAACTTTTGATTTTTAAATGGCACCCTCCGTAATTTTTTAATTTATTCGTTAGAAAATGACACTCTGAATCGAATGACATATCATATGTCAATTTTTGACATAGTCGCTCAAAAACAAATTCTATTTTAAATTTCAATCTAGAGTGCCATGGCTGTGTTAAAAACACTAAGTTTTAATCAAGGAGCCTTGGAAAAATAGATTTGATCGTCTAATATTTTTAGTGTCTTATCCTGACCGGTTAAAAGATGCTCGAATCGTATTTTTAATCATATCTCAATTTTTTCAAATGGAACGAGGGTGGCTCATTAGCATATTTGGAAGAAGCATTTTTTTACGAATAATTTGATACCACACATTTGGTATTTTGAGTCAAATTCTCGTTATGAACCGCATGTTACAATTTCAAATAAACCATATGCCAAAATGTCAAAAGTTGATATATGATATGTCATTCGATTCAGAGTGTCATTTTCTATCGAATAAAGTAAAAAAATACCGAGGGTGCCATTTAAAAATCAAAAGTTGTAGTCATTTCCGGTGAAACCGGAAGTGATCGATAACAATTGAATAAGTCAATCAATCCCAATTTATGTCATATACTAACATACCAAATATCGTTGTTTTATCTGAAAAAATAAAAAAGTTATAAGGTTGAGCCACTTTTGAGACGCACCCGGAATACTAAAATATCAAATCTCGTTTTTTATCCGAAAAAAAAAATTAAAAAGTTATAGGGGTGAGCCACTTTTGAGACGCACCCGGTACACACATTGTAAATTTGAAAGTAAGAAATAGTAATTTTTTATATTTATTTTTGGTATGTGGTGTTTTGTTTAAAATACACCCCTTGTCTGTTTTGTATTAACACATACCCTCGCACATACCGTAATATTTTTGAAATAAAATAACTAGATTAGACTTTTTCAGTTTTATACAGTTTTCACAATATTTTGAAGTAGGTAATCACATGTCACTCCTGTGCTAGGTATCTGTCATTTCTGCTATGCGTTCCAATTGTATCAACAATTTCTTTGTAAAATAAAATATTAAACTACTTTGAAATTACAATGACAGACACGTCTATTAGGTACTGTCAAGAATTTTGTCGCGTTTCAAATTCTTTGTAACTTTGATCACACTGTATACGGTATACGTGAAGGTCTACTTTCAAATATTATTAATTTTTCAGGCTTAAACAAAGCCCATGATGCAAAATAAAAGTCGTGAACGGCTACACCCATTTCAAATGTCTAGGTTTATTATTAGGCATTGTATTCTTAAAGGGTGTGCTTATTATGCGATCCATTAAGTTAAATAGATATACCATTAATAATATAAAAAATGACACTATCTAATTCCAAGCTTAATTTTCTATATTATGTATAAAAAAAAAATATATATAAAGTGACCTCAGAATAGACCGAAAAAATTTTATCACCTCTGGCACAATTTTTTTTATTTATTCGGGATTAAACATAAATATTTTTAGATAAAAAATGATATATTTATTATTTAATTCTCTCCAACAACATACACTTTCTATACATAGGTATAACTTTTGACTTATCGCAACTTTCAAATATTTTATCATGTTTATCTTTCATCTGCTTACTTATTTATACAGGTGTGAATGATTGCTATGAGATGGAATATAATATAAAAATCTGTTGTAATTGGAGTATTTAAATAAGAAACAAATAGTGGTAACTTGTAGAGATTAATTATAGGTATTAATTTTATGGCTACTTAGGACAGTATGTAGGTACCTATTACTATACCATATTAGGTAAACTTGGCTAAGAAATATTTAAAAAGAACACTCTAAAACACCGAAAGAGTGAAACTTTAATAGAATGACTTCTCAGAAATGCAGTAACTTATAAAAATAATAGGTATAAAAATTAATATTGCTGAATTCATATAAAAAAAATAAAACTATCTACTTACATTTATTTCCTTCCTTTTAGACAAAGGAATAAAATATTGAATTTCACATTATTTTTCATAACACTATTGTTAACAAAAAGACCGATCTACTGTACGCAAAAAAACGATATTAATTCGATTCAAGGCGTACCTTGAACTCTTATTTTTTAAAGGTATTGAGCAATCATTAAAATGAATGAAAGCATTAACCTTTGTATCATTTTTTGTGGAATTTAATGTGGGAAATGTTAGCTAACACCAGGAACTATGTGTTCACATAAACCGAAAAATATACTTTTAAATCTAAGGCATAGGTAAATAATATAGCTACTGTATAAAACTAGTTTAAGTTTACCTTTTCTAGATCACTGAGTACCTACAATGTACAACCAACCCATTTTAAAGTTTATAATTGTTCGTCAGCACTGTCATATCACACCCTGGCCGTATATTTTTCACGATTAATACTGGAATCAATTCTAGGCTACTGTGGATTATTTTTACGTGTCCAATTCATCGAAAACACTACGAAAAATTTGTCACACCGTTTTACTGAGAAAAGCACACACAACCTGACATCTTTTTTGTTACAGGCGACTACACTATCGCGAAGTTAGTCGCGAATGTCACTTTAATACATTTTTTATTATTTTTTCGTTGTTATCGTAGATGTGCCAATAGATAATTTTCTGGCAAACGGATTTCGTCTAATTTAGTCTGTAAAAACTTATTTATAAGCAGCACTGGAACTTTCGACGAAAAAACATGACTATAACAAAATTTGCTATACAAGAAATAACCTCTGCCAAAAATATACCTGTTAAAAAGTTTAACGTAATTGGTATTCCAAAGGGTTTATTTGCAGTAGTTTAATTTTTGAAAAAGTACGTCCAGAAATGAGTTCTTGAAGCCGGGACTGACCGAATTCAATAAAGCGTACGGCGTCTCGAAGTACTCGTTGTTTTGTAAAGTGTTCTCGTCAAAATTATTGCCGCAGAATCTGAATCCGTGCACAGTTAATTCGAAGGTGTATTTTGCGTGTTCCAAGGTTTCCACATTCAGATAGATCGTCGAATCGGTACTTTGAAGTTGTTTGGATACTTCGATCAACTTGACATGGTCTTTCACGTCGTTTATTATGGCTTGGGCTTCTTCCTGCCAACCTTGCGAGTCTAAAAGGTGCTCCGACATTATTCGTATGAATTGATAAGGGAATTTTTCCCAATATCTAACACAAATCACTCATTTTCTTCAATAAATCCGGTATAGTTTTGTTATCGATTCACTGACAAAACAAAAACTTGACAAAAACGTAAATTGACAGCGAAATGGTCACGAAGTTAGCCAGAAACCAGAAACCATGCACGGTAAACGTTTAAGATGACCGAAATCCTATATTGTCAAAATCGTCATTTCATTAGCGAGATTGCTAAATATTGTGTTTAAAAACGCTACGGACTTATAAAAAAAGATAGGATTAAACATGCTTTTGTCATATAAGTCCAAATAACTAATATATAATTAAAAATAATTGCAGTTTAAAAAAATATAATACACACTGGTGCCATCTCGTAGTCTCTGGCTCAAACACTTTGACAATCAGCTGATCGATGTTGTAATAGGTTAGTTATTAATGTCAAGTAATAAAAATAAATGCAATAAAACGAAATGAATTGGTGATAAGATCAAAGTCGAAGAAAACATTTGTGATAGTTAATGTTCTTAATTCGTATATGTTTAAGTTACATAAGTCGCCACATTTGTTTTTAATTAAAGTAATTGTGGTTGCCAATACATTTTAGTGAGTGTAGTGCAAGTGTCCTCTTTTTCTCTTGAGCAATTTACAAACAAGATGTCTGTTGTTCTAAGCAAATTGTTGGGGCCTCCTTTAGATGTTTCTTGTTATACCTATGTCCACCCATGGAAAGAATCGTGTAGTACAGCTATTGCAGGTTGTTTTTTATATTGCATATTTGATTCCTTAAGAATCTATGGCACAGTTTATCTTGTAAGTATATTACGCATATATTTATTAAGTATTTAATTAAATTCTTATCAGAATAAAAGGAAATTGAGCCTAACTTAAGTCCATTGTAAAATAGATACATAATACATATTTACATATTAAGATTAAAGGTGTTGTTGTTGATAAATACATGTTTTTGCTAGACATAAACAGGTGTTTTTGTTTTTTTTATTTGAAGTATGTGTCTAGTGTGCCAACCTAGGCTTTTTAGCTCAGTTCAGTTTGAGTAGCCCATAAAGAAACACTGAAAATGGCAGAACAAAGTAAATTTTTATCGATAAATACTGATTGTGCCAATATACATCATTGGACTTCGTGCCAGTTTTTCTTATTATCACTTTCCTTTGCTGTTATGATTGGCAGTCTTAGAATCTATACCATTACTCACTTGGTGCTAATTAATATATTTATTGTAGAATAGAGTAGATTTATATTATTTTTTTAGTGCACCCTTTTAATGAAAGGAAGAATACCCACAAAACAGGACATCAAAAGGACTCTCCAGGGTATTGTACAATCGACAGCTTTTCTTAGTTTTACTGGTTTTGGATACAGTCTATTTTTATGCAGTCTTAGGTAAAATTTCTATATTTATTTTACACTTAATATTGGTAATAAAAATACACTTATGCTAACAAAGAACATTTGTATATAACAAAGAATATATTATGAGTAAAACAATTTTAAAAATTATTGGTAATTGTTTTTAGGAGGCTATTAGGCAATTTTAATATACTCACTGTTTCATTCTTACCTGCATTCTTATCAAGTGTATTTTCCATTTTAATTGAAAGACCTTCTCGAAGAGTTTTGCTTTGTTTATATGTTAGTAATGTAGCTACTGAAACCGTAAGTTTTTAATTTTGATTATTTAGAATAATATAAAATATCTACAATTAATTGCAAGGTATGGAACATGTTGGTCTCGAGAAACTTGGTCAGAAATATTCGTCACGGTGATGTAGCGCTCTTCGGTATTAGTATGGCTCTATTACTTACTTATTACAAAAAGGGGAATCAAAAAGAAGTGCCAGATTCCATGTTTAAGGTTTTAAGGTAAGTATTTAGGCAATGTTATTGATAAACCATTAGTTTTATTTATTTAACTTTATAATTATAGTATTTTCAAAGTCAATTGGACCGGTTTGGGTCTTGGCTTGAGACTAATTTGTCTGTATAAAGTCCAATTGAGTTCGGAAATGTGTACACATTTCACTTTTATTTGCCAATGATTGAATATCTATTAGGAATAAATAGGTGTAGCAGTACTTTTCTGTATGCTCTGGTCCCCTTCAAATATATACAATTTGATTAAGAAAAAAATGTCGTCAGCGATGTCCTAAAATGCTTAGTTTTGGAGATACAGGGTGTAGAAGTTTCATTTTTATTTCGATTTTTTCCATATAATTTATGAAGTAACGTCAATATTTGGATGAAAATTGGTGTCTGGGAGTTTTATGACACGAGAAATTTGATTTTGATGTCAATATGACTCCTACTTCTAGCGGGCGCCACCTACATATTTTTTAACTGGTTTGAAGAGTAATAACTTTTCGTCCGTACCTGTATAAAACTACTGAGTAAAAAAAATATACATTTACGACGTTTTTACCTAAGAAAGGTCTCTTGGTAAAAATCGCTTCGAATAATGGTTCTTGAGATATTTGGAATTAAAATTATCAGTATCTGTCATCACTGAGATAAATTAGTAGTAAGTGTTCATAGCATACCTAATCATAAGTTAGTAGTAGTAGTAATAATAGTTATTAGAGTGAAATCATAAATTTGAAATGTTTTTATACCAAAAGTGCAACAAAAAGTTTTATCATCATTTTTTCGCAGAAAAATTTATGATTTATATAAAAAATTTAAAATTTCCCAAATTTATTATGTCAGTCAAATAACTACTACCAGTGGCGGCTCGTGACCCGTGTGACTGGGTAGGCGACAAAATTTTAGTTGCGTCTATTTGCCCCCCCCCCCCTAATTTACATAATACTCTAGCCCAGTTTGTAAAGATATGTTATCTCTGGGTGGGTTAAAACATAGCCCAAAAATATTTAGGACAAAACTAAAGCAAAAATAACAGCATTCAACGTAATGACATAATGATTGACATAATGTACCAGTATAGTTTTTATTAATCTATTTTATCTATTATTTTTTATCTATTACCATGGAGTACATCATAGAATTTTATTTTATTTTTATTTATTTACGCAAACTTAAAAATTGGTAGTATTGAGAGAAAGAATAATTATGTTTTATCCTTGTATATGGATTTTTAAAGTAGCTCAACCTAAGACGTTTATGGATGTAAAGCACCAGATGGCGGGGCGTATTTCACGGTCTTTTACTACAGAAAAATATTTTTTGTTACTCTGAATTTTGACGCGACCAATAAAAACAGAGAAAATAAAAATCGATAATTTTCGGACTGTGCCAATCGACCAGATACTTTTTATCTATTAGATATGCTATAAAAGCTGGTAATTATACAATTCGACCATTGTAAATACCCGACAAATTCCGCAAGGCCGACGAGGCCGATGCTTTTCACTGATAAGAAAAAAAATGTTTGTTTAGATATTTTTCGAGATATTTTTTCTTTCTGAATGCACATTTTTAAAGTATTTTATATTCTTTGTCCGCTTGATCTATTATACTGGTCGCACGTATCGAAGTTCTGTTTCTTCTAGTTTTAAAAAATGTTCTTATTTCTTTGTAGTGGTTGTAGTGTAAAATTAGATTAATTTTATTAAATTTAATTATAATGTTTAGTGTAGAATACCACAAATAGTTTAGTAGTGTTTTTATTGTTTATTATTTTGTAGTTAAGTAGTAGGTGAAGGGATAATTGATAATTTTTTCAGTGTAGAATACAAGAAGTAGCAGTGTAGTGTTTTTATAAGAGATTATATTAGTTTATTTTGTAGATGAGTAGTAGGTGAAGGTATTTGGGTATTTTTTCTTTTTGTTTTTCTTCTAATTGTAGTAATTCTATTAAGTATTGTGATAGATACACTATATCTTCCTTCAACTTCGTTGTGCATTATCATATAATTTTGGTTTTCTGGTAGTAGAATATACGAAAAAAAAATCTGATCAAATTTATTTTAAATTAAATTAATCGAGTCTTATTAATCAAATTAATTTAGTCAAATAATAATAATAGTTAGTTTCTAAATACTACACAGGGTGAGTTTCCTACGATGTTCTCTATGGGTATCTCGGAAACTACTGGAGACTGGAGATAGAGAGTCGGTTAAATGGGGAAAGAATTGCAGTTTTGTGGGGTCATAAATATGCGCCTTTCGGATTTTTCGGAGAAGTTCAAGGCTTACTAGATATTTCGAAAAAAAAAACAAATTTTGGTTCTTTTAAAACTTTTGTCTCTAATTTCATTATAATCTACCGTATGATCGAATAAAAACGGCGTCAACGATGTCTATGAAATGAAGATCGCTGTCATTTTTTATGTAAAATTATATGGGAAATATCATCGATCGTCATTTCATAGCCATCGCTGACGCCGTTTTTATTCGATCATACGGTATTTTACATTATTTAAAAATTACAAGTTATAGCCAATTCTTTTCTTTTTTGGCTAATTTCCATACCAATAATATACCATGCCAATTAGTTGGCATCAAGAATGTAAAAAGTTTTATGTTTTCAAAAAAAATATCGTAAAATTCGTAAAGCACTTAATTTAGAATAAAATAATCTAAGAATGAAATGATTCTTTTATAAACCTGCATTAAATCAAATTAAAATAGGTATGTAACTTTTTTTAAATATTAATTAATAGTAATTAGCATTATCATTAATTATTATAAATAATGTACCAACATATCGAAACAATAATTTCTTTGTTAATACGGTTTAGAATTCTTAAAATAACAGGCAAAAATAATCCACAATTTACAATGAAATAAAAGTTTTGTTTAAATTTCTTAATCAGCTGATCACTATTAAAGTTCGCAGATACCCGGGGCTATATTATTACATTACTCTGAGGAAAATAACGAAAATAATCGATATTTTTGACTCCGCCCCGAAAGGTTCACATTTATTTGTCCTCCAGTTGGCAGCACATTTTGTCTAGTCGGTTGAACAACTTTAAGAATATATAAACAAGGGTTTTATATATTAAATTGATGAGTCGGTCTCTTAATAAAGGAAAGTTATTTATTATTATATCAGCAAAATCATCTGTTGAAGAGCTGTGAACAGATCTTTTTAGATTGAAAGTAAGGGAAGTAGCGATAAACGTTTATTTTTTATGGAATCTCTACTATAAATTTTAATGCATTTCAAACATGAAAAATGTCTCTCAACCTAAGTCCTTGTAAATGGTGTAGTAACAAACAAAACAAACAATTTGAAAGCCTCTGGAAATATATTTCCAGGATTATTCTCCTTAAATTATTTTATAATCGAAATTATTACATCTATTATTAATACCTGCAATTTATTCATTAATTTATGTTGATCAATAACATTTTTTGTTTGTTAAATCACTATTAAACGCGTCGGAAGTTGGAAATGTATCAATATAACGAGTTTGTTAAATCAGATGTTAAATTCGTTGGAAATTTTTTATAGGATTCTTTAAATTTCGAATCCGCAAGAGATAAATAAAAATAATTGAGACATACGAGTACTTATCTGCTAACCTTATTTCTAAATGTATAAAAATGTTATCTAATATTTCATAAAAATAAAATGTGCAAAGATATTTGACTTAGCCGCTTTTATTAACATATCGAATTGAAATAGCACAGAGACTTTTCTGTAATATCTGTTGTATCGTCTTCTTGCACCGAATAAAATAACGCGCTTTTTTTATTTCGGATTCTTTTATTTCTGTAGCGTGTTCTGAAATACACCGGGTTATATCATTTTTAATAATCTCGAACAAGCCCGAAAAATGTTTCCAATTTGCTTTAAAAGTTTTTTGAATTTTCATATAAAAGTTCTAGATGCTACGTATAATGAATCATATGAAATATCCTCTTAACGAAATGTGATAAAATATCTCATTATGAAATAGCGGGAATATCCCCTTAACATCTCAGCCTACCCAGCCTCCACGACTTCATGCGAAGGCGACCGGAGATTTCGCCTAAGCCCCGCCTTAATACGATACAACTCCGACTTACGTCGCGTCGCTACCGCACGATGAGTTAGACAGAGACAGAAGACTGCCATACGTCGTGCATCGACTCTGATAGTAGGCGATGTAGAAAAACTTCGCGTTTTTGACCGTTCAAAAATAATTTTGAACGGTCAAAATTATTTTGTTTTCTAAGGCAGCGGCACAGTCAACAGTCAGCGGTCAGCGTACGCCAGCGGTAGTCAATATGTTAATATACAAGACCACAAATATTAAAATAATATTGATTATTAAAACACACTTACGTGTATTAACAGTATTTTTATGTATTGGCAATATTAATAGTAAGTAATGTAAATCGCTTAAATTCTGCCAAAATCTTAGGGTAGGCGCCGCCTACCTTGCCTACCCTGACGAGCCGCCACTGACTAGTACTCAACGTGTTTATTTTTTGTCAAGAATGACATGTATTGACTCTTTCCGTTCTAAATATCTTGAGAACGGTTGCTCGTAGCGATTTTTACCTAGAGACATTTTTTACGTAAGAAGTCACGAAAATGTATATTTTTTCACTCAGTAGTTTTATACAGGTACGAACGAAAAGTTATTACTCTTTAAAACCGTTAAAACACATGTAGGTGGCGCCCCCTACAAATAGGAGTCATATTGACATCAAACTCAAATTTCTCATGTCAAAAAAAAAATCTCCCAGACACCAATTTTCATCCAAATATTGACGTTACTTCAGAAATTATTTTAGAAAAAATCGAAATAAAAATGATACTGTTTCACTCTGTATCTCCGAAACTAAGCATTTTAGGATATATATTTATACGAACTATTTTATTTATTTTTATCTGCAGAATACGCTGCCGAAGTTTTCCGTAATACAATTCGGACCACGCTGTATAATGACGATCGCTTTTATTTTATAATA